ATGCCTTTGTTCTGGGAGCATCATTTAAACAAGTACTATTCAGGCTATTCAAGGGTCTGGGGAGAAGGGTGAAGCAATGACAGACAAGCCAAGCCTTGAAAGAATCATAAGGATTTTGGAAGGAGGAGAGGGAAGGAGGGAAGCCACATGACAACAACAGACAAAGAAATCTTTTTCAGTATTAGTCAACATAAATAATTAACATCGTGCCAAATGTTAAAAAATAATGCCAGTTGCAGTAGGAGTTGTAGACGTTTTATAAACAAAAATTGCAAGAGAGTTACTTCAATGTGCAATAAAGCTAGTGGAATTCTAATCAGTAATTGCTTCTTAGAATGTTAATAATAATAAATTGCTTTTGTGGGTTTTTACTCCAACAGTTCTGCTACAGAAAGAGATGAGTGGTTAGAAGCTATCTCCAAGTCAATTGAAGAATATACAAAAAAGAGAATCACGTTTAATCCAAGCAAAAGTCTTGAAGAGGTATATCCTACCATTATTGTTGATTTGTTCCCTTTTTAAATATAAAGTTTCCTGACAGGTGCTTAGAGAAACAAGAGGTACTCCATGACAAATAATAAAGCAGGAGGGTAAATAATTGAACAGATGGTAGAACAGAATATTTCATAGTGTTACCTACTTCATACATTTAAAATTACTTTCTTCAAAAAAACCCAAATCAGCTTTCACAGGTCTCTCTGTAGCCTTGTGCACAGAAAAATGAAATGAAAAGGTTTTAAAATAAAGCAGCTATGGATCCAAGTAGGCTGGTAAAGCTTGACAGTCATTACATGCATCTCTTTTGTCAGGCTGGAATTATAATGGTCACTGATGAAATAGTAGATAACATTTAAGACCATGACAATTTATCAGAGAAGGCTTTCCAACACTATTAGCATTATCCTATAATCACTGGTGAATATTAGTCTTGCTTCTCGTCTCTGAATGTAATGATATTGTGGCTATGTTCTCTCAGGCAGATCCAGAGAAACAGGAAGAAGATAGTCCTCTGGGGTCCAAGGCTCCCATCTGGATCCCTGACACAAGAGCCACGATGTGCATGATCTGTACGAGTGAATTCACGCTGACGTGGAGAAGGCACCACTGCAGGGCATGCGGGAAGGTTGGGTGATTTTGTGGTTACCTTTTCAGTCGCTCATTCAGGTTCCTTGTGTGACATTCAGGTGGAGCCTTGTCACCCCAACTACCCTTCTAAACAACACTGTACTGTGGCACAATTACAATTACTGTGTTAGAACCAGCGAGTTCGGGTTGGTGGTTTGGGGGCTGGGGTTTGGGTTTTTTGGACAGGTGTTATGACAGACCAGTATTCAACCTTTAGCATGCTACATGTGACTTACTTTGCATTCTGGAGTGCTATTTACGGTTATTTTGCAATTACATAATACCCATGATGTTAGTTGAAATGAAGAAGCTGCTTCCTCACTAATTTTCATAAGATAAATGATTTTTGATTTTAAGTTAGTACCAACCTTCTTTTATATTCTACACTTATGAAAACTATATATAATAAACTTTATCTTTCTTGTTTTAATCCAGTGGGAATGCAAAATTAGAATGCAATGCAGTTGAGACATCTGTGTTGTAAAGAAATCACCAAGAGAACAATAGCTTTTTTAGTTATTTCAAAAAACTTATGATTGAAACTGTTCACTAACACAGTAGGCTTGTTCTGTTTTTAATGGATCGTTAATGTTGGCTTATTGACTCCTAATTCACTGATTATTTTTTTTTTAAATATGTAAATTTTTATCATTTAGAAGAGGAAAGGACAGCATGTCAAGCATAAAGACATGGGAAAAAGCCAAGATCTTAAAACACTTACTCTGTGAAATAGTGCCTATTTCATGTTTTTATGGGCTTAAAAATGCTGAAGTGAATGTCTTTGGGTATTTGGTGATTTACAGGTGCACATCATGTACAGTAATGCTTTTATCTGTTTCTGTTTCCAGATTGTCTGTCAAGCTTGTTCATCAAACAAACATGGCTTAGACTATATGAAAAACCAGCCAGCTAGAGTATGTGATCATTGCTTCAGGGAGCTACAAAAGCAAGGTAAAGAAAACCTCCACAAACTGTCTGTCTTACTTTTGTGGCCTTTATAACATGATGTGTGCCTTATCTTTACTGCTGGGTTCAAGTGCTTTATTCTGCTTGTGCATGAAAAATGATAGGCACCTGAGATTCTAAGGCAAACAAGCTTCTGTTGGGCAAGCTTGGAAATGAATTTGCCATATATTGGCTCTTCCTTTCAGAAACATGTGTGCCTTTACCTTATGGTAATGACATGTAGCTTATGATGCTTTCCTTTTGAGATAACAGGTGTTATATTGCTTTGCATTAATCACAGGGTGCAGGTATACATTAGAGTCCTTGCAGTTTATCCTGACCTCCCAGGAGGTTCATGTGTACTTTTACACTCTATAACTTGTATGTCTGTAAACTTGATTTTTGCCAGCTAAGCTGCTGAGATGGCTAAAGTTCTGGGGCTCTGTAGAGACATAGACCTTAATCTTTCTGAAGCTGTGTCTCTTCAGGTCTATAAACTGTCCTCAAGCCACTCTCAAACCTCAGCTCATATGCAATTCAAGGATTTGGCATATCTGTACCTTAGTTCTGAAAGCAAACTCCTAACCATTGCCTACTGAACGCTGGCAATATGGAATTCAACATAAAACACCACAGCTAGAGCAGTTTTCACTGAAATGCTTTCAGAGAATGTGGTGCTTAGTGGAAAGCAATGACTGGATAGCCTAATGGTAATAACATTTGCTTAGAGAGGAGGTCCAGGGTCAGTGTCCTCATCCTGAGAAAACTCTAGTACATCTCTTTGAAGAAGCTTCATATCATTTTGCAGAAACAAGTGTAAAATCAATGAAAGCACCTCCCAGTGAGGTGGGAATCCAGTCCCATCTCACAAGACTTGCTGTGAATTAAGTCGAAATACTTGAGTATAAAGTACACAAATGAGCTGTAAACAGACTTAAAGAGCTTTCCACCCTTCCCTCGGCAGAGGCTCCAGTGTGACACAAGCTCTCCACGGTATCAGGAAATCTGTGGAGCCCAGTGAAAAGATAAAGCTATGGATCCCACCACACTGGGGGTGACGTTTCTCACGGGGGTGTGGAAAGCGGCATGGATAACCCTGGAAATGACAGTGGGAGCCTGCGGTCATTGTCTGAACCACCTGCAGGTGTCTGAGTTGGGCACTAGAGGCTGCTGTGCTGCAGGCAATTGCAGCTGCCTGAAGCTGGGAAAAGGGCTGGGGAGCAGGTGCAGTACAGCTGGCAATCACATTGCTCTCCTGCTCTTCTCATTATTTCACAGCCTCACCGAGTTCAGGGCCAGCTCTAGAAGTAGGCTCTATTAAACCACTCGTTCCAAGTGCAGCTGTAAAAATGTGGTGGTAGTTCCTAGAAAAAGGGGTTTTGAAGAGGTGAAGTGTTGCAGAAGTCTTCCAAGAGAGATGAAGTAACTGTCTGTGGCAGTAGAGAAAGACAGCACATGCTGGGAGATGGGAACATCCACAAGTGCATGTGTGCTGGAAGAGGAGCATCCCTATTGAATAAGGCTGAGAAGTTAACAGATGTAGAGAATTGAAAGATAAAGTACAGACAACATAGAGGACAGCTGTAAAAATTTGCTGCAATTTTTAAGACTTAATTTTCACCCTCTTTACGAGCAAAGGCAGTTCAACACCCAGAAAACAGACTTGGAAAACAAACAAGACCAATTTGTTTAGTTTTAAACTTCTTGGAGTTTTTTTAGTATGATTGTGTTTTGGGGGATTATAACTCATGATGTTAATGATAATACTGAAAAGTTAATTCAGTGCTGAATTTAATGTGATTAGGTGTTACTATTGTAAGCCTGTAATCTGAATAAAAATGCCAGCTGTTTTTAAGAAGAAAAGTCCAAGAATGAATTGCCTGTGTTTAGTCATCTGTGACTTGAAATCAATATATTGTACATTTTAGATAACCAGTGCACTCCTAAGAGTGGATCCCCAGTCAACCATAAATCTCCATCAAGTGCCTTGTCTACAGTATTACAGAGTATTCCCTCTGGAAGAAAGCAGAAAAAAATTCCTGCAGCCCTCAAAGAAGTAAGTGTTTTATTGGTCAGAAGCGGTGCCTTATTGATATTATATCATCAATATTAAGAGTAGGAAAAAATCTCTTATTTTAACCATCTTATCTAGAATCTAAAGTCAACGTGTATCTCTGAGGTTTGGGCCTTAATTTTAAAGAGGCAAGGATATGAACTGTGAAGCACTGTGTAAACTGCATAAACACCTGTGAGACTGTGATTCAGAGCTATAGTTAAAATTGTAGTTTCTTTTTTGCTTCCCTGTGTTTCCCTGAATTTTGATTTATCACTGTACCAACAGTCAATGACAAGACTCCTATACCAACTCAGCTCTTGGTTTATGATTAGGAAAGGTAGAGTGAAACCCTACTTTCTGTAGGTCTTGGGAATGGGAGGAAGTGATTTTTTTTTTAGCAGGTTTGCTGATGACACCAAACTGTGTGTTGCAGTCTACACACCAAAGGGAAGGGATGCCATCCAGAGGGACCTGGATAGGCATGAGAGATGGGTCTATGTGAGCCTCACAAAATTCAACAAGGCCAAGCATGAAGTCCTGCACGTTTGTCAGGGAAATCCCAAGCACAAATACAGGCTGAGTGGATTGATGCTAGCCCTGGGGAGAAAGAGTTGGGGCTGTTTGTAGATGAAAAGATCAACATAAATGGACAATGTGCAGTTGCAGCCCAGAAAACCAACTGTATCCTGGGCTGCAGGTGCAAGATCCAGAGCAGCGTGGCCAGCAGAGTGAGGGAGGGGATTCTGCCCCTCTGCTCTGCTCTGGTGAGACCCCACCTGCAGTTTAACTCTGGGGGGGGTCTCCAACATAGTAAGGACATGGACCTGCTGGAATGAATCCAGAGGAGCCTATAAAGTTGAAAGAGGGCTGGAGCACTTCTAATAGACCAGGCTGAGAGACTTGGGGTTGTTCAGTCTGGAGAAGAGAAGGCTCCAGGGAGATTTTGGAGCAGCCTTCCAGTACCAGAAGAGGGGCCTACAAAAAAACTGGGGAGGGACTTTTTACAAGAGCATGTAATGATAGGACAAAGGGGCCCTTCATAAGTTGAAGGAGGGTAGGTTTAGATTAGATACCAGAAAGAAATTCTTTACTAATAGGGTGGTGAGGAACTGGAACAGGTTACCCAAAGAGTTTGTGGACTCTCCATCCATGGAAGTGTTCAAGACCAGACTAGATGGGGCTTTGAGCCATCTAGGCTCCAGCCATGACAGGGAAGTTGGAATGAGATGATCTTTAAGGTCGCTTCCAAACCAAACCACTCTGTGATTCTACCATTCTTTTTATATAGGAATGTGTGTTCTCCAGCTGTATGTTTTCCTCACTGTTTCAGCTCTGTCTTGTCCTGTTGTATCCAACTTAAGTTCCAACCTTCATTTACTGGAAGCCTCTCTTCCAGACCAGATAGATGGTAGTCGACAAAATAATATTTCTTTCACACACCTGAGTTAGTTAGCAACATTAACCTGAGATTGGGTAAGAATTTCAGTATCTGACAAGCAGGGCTCTGGAAATCTGTTAAAAAAACCCAAAACAAACCAGCTGTACTGTGAAATCTTATTAGCGTTTGTTGATTCATTTTGATTTTCCTTGTCAGGTTTCAGCAAATACAGAAGACTCTACAATGAGTGGCTACCTACACAGATCTAAGGGCAGTAAGAAACCATGGAAACACCTGTGGTTTGTTATAAAAAATAAGGTGCTATACACATATGCTGCTAGTGAGGTAAGAGACCACATACTAGAAATTAAATATCCAATGATCATACTGTCTTTGTAACAAAGTTGTTTACTCTTATGATCTAGAAAAGAAAAGCTATAAAATTAGATCATCTTACAGTATTTGATCTGATTATGATGCAGCATTTTGAAAAGGCCCAATAAGCTTGATACCATAATACATTGATACAGCTATGGTGTTTCTGATTCCAGATATAGCTTTGAGTACCTCTGCACTTTACACCAGTGCTCAGTTGTAGGTATGTTCTGAGTCAGCTGAATACGTGGGGGATCTGTTTGCATGCATCACAGTATAGTAGTGGCAAAGGAACATTATAAAAGCATCTTCAACTATCTTGTTCTGCAGTTCCATAAGGTATTTTGAATGCTTGCAAAAGGAGTAAACGAAATCTCTTTACTTTTCCTCAAACTGTTTTCTTAAGCCTGGAGTTGTTATTTGATAGAAAATAAATGCAGCTTATGTAATGGCATTTGCTTTTTTATTTAGAATGTGTAGTCCTATTGCAGTGTGGAATAATCTTTAACATATACATACATGTATATATGTGGTATCCCAACATGTGCTGAGGGTGTAGTTTTATTGCATCTTAGAATGTTTTGTAACATATATGGATGTATTGATCTTGGGATTCAGGTTTTTGTATTGTTTGTTATCGTTTACTACTAGCTTTCAAGAGCAAAATATCCAAAGCATCTATTTTAAGGTATTGCCATCCCTCACTTTCTCTCAAAACGTAAGGCCCAACCTATCCTGTCCATGTAAAGAATTATCCTTCTTCACTCCACTCTAGTTATTTCCTGATTTGTGCTCAGATTTCTTCCTGGGTTGTTCCTGCCAATCTTAATTTTAGAACTTCTGATTTATGTCCAAAACCAATGATGTTATTTCCACTACAGCATTGGCAATAAAAAAAAACAAACAAAAACCTAACCCAAGTAGTTCTAAAAATAGCTTAAATAGTTATGTAGAAAACAATTACTTTTACATCAATTAGAAAATAATTTCAGAGCATTGTGTCTCTTCTGGCCTTTGCAAAGGAAACTTTGGCAGAGGTAAAAAAAAGAGCAAAGTCTGTGATAGTCACCTTAAATTTTCTTTTGCTTCACTTCCTCTGAGATATCAGCCTGACAGAGTAGCTTCAGTTTGCAATTCACAATCACAAAATTAACTCTTTCCTATTTTCTTAAACTGAGGAATACCTGTCCTTAGTTTTCATCCTGGTGAGCCTTTGCAGGAGACATTGTTTAGAGAATCTATAGAGAAGGTGCAGTATTGCACTGGCACTTACCTGCTTATATTTGTTCCAAGTGATAGAAGGATCAATGGAAAAGAAGTGACCTATCAGTGGTATGAAGACCTGAGACAGTAAAACAGATTACTCAGCCTTACATGACTCTTTTCCAATATCAAGAAATGCTGTTGTCACAGGACACTTGTTTTGCTGTAGAGTTAATTACCAGAGTCTTCACCGGATGTGTCAGTGTTTATGTAAATTTGGGGTGGTTTAGCTATTTTTTTTTTCTCCTGTGTTCATAAGCATTGCAGGACCTTGCCTAGTTACAAAATTCCTAGTTTTTATATTTGCACAGGATAAAAATATTTTTTTTCCTTTCCAAAAATGCTTTGTATTGTATTAATTAATAAAAAGACAAAAGTATTTAAAAAAAAAAGTAATTGAGATAAATGAGGAAGGGTCTTTTCTAGTTGACTGTTTGTGAACACTAAGCAACCTTGGTTTTGCCTATCCTGTTAATTTCCAGCAAAAGAAAGTGAGATAAGTTTATCCATTTAAAGATTTGGATCTTGACTTCAGTGCTTGAGAACACAGGCTGCCTCCATAGCTCCTCCTTTTAGCATACTCAGTGCAGTTAATAGCATCTCACTTCACTTCTCAGCTTGCTGGAGAGAGCACTGGGCTTGATGGGCCTCTGGTCTGCTGCCAGATTGTGGCTGATCTGTTGATACAAGAAGTCCTTGCCAGGCAGAATAATGAGACCATGCAATGAAAGCCAAGGTAGAAGCTATCAGGGAAATAAAAAGAGGCTCATTGATGTTGAAGTCTGGGAGATTTTATTTCCTGTCCCCTGACTCATGCATGGAGAATATAAAAAATAGCAGCATTCTGTGTGTGTCTATTTATAACAATTTGTTGTATTGTCTGCTGCAGTGGTATGGTGTATGAAGTCTAAATGCATGCCTAAGTATGTCTTAGTATGTCTCTAATTTTGTATTTTTTTCCTTTTTTCCTTGTTACATAGGATGTGGCAGCATTAGAGAGCCAGCCTTTACTTGGATTCACAGTCAGTGAAGTAAAAGGTGAAAACTCAGAGTCAAGAGTGTTCCATTTACTGCACAAAAACACTTTATTTTACATATTCAAGGCAGATGATCCCCATTCAGCTCAAAAGTAAGAAACTATTTAAATTCATTTCTGTTGCATATTTCTAGAAAATTCAGAAGTGGTGAATGTCAGTATTCACACATGAAGCATATGCATGAAAGATCCATATTATATCACAAGTAAATGAAAGTTCTAAATTACTTAACCACAAGGTTCTGGTTTCATTGGGGCTTCTGAAATGAAGGAAGCAGACTCCTCTGCAAAGGACTGAATGTAGAATGAGAAAGAAAAAGATTTCTTATTTTATCTCTGACTTTTTCCTTACCCATTCCTCTCATCCTAGTCTACTCAAGTGAAAATTTAATGTTACCTTTGGAGAAATACAGAAAATGTTTTTAAGAATTAACTGATACGCTCCTTCTTTAATTTCATCTGTTCATATTAGTTATTTTTCAGCAATATATGGCAGTGAAAAATAACGCAAACACTAAAACTTGGGGACCAAGGCTTGAAGTGTGTGAGCTGATGCCCATGAGCACCTAGGCATGCACTCAGGCCAACAGCTTGAATTCAAAGAACATTCACAAAGCAAGTTTCGTTTCAAGTCATGTCTGAATTTGGAGTCATATTTATCAAGTGTATTGTGTCAGTTTCATATAAAATAACCTGGAGGCTTAGTCATGGATCAGTAGAAAACATTCATTACATGATTCATAAAGTAAACTAGAAATGAAGATAGAAGGAATACATGTAAGCTATCTTATCTGGCTGGTTTCACTGTAGTTTCCTCAAATGAATTTTACATTATTAAATAGATTTGATGCATTTACAAGTCCATTACTAGTACTTAAACATTCAAAAGGATTCAGGTTTAGTTTTTCTGCAAATACGAACATTCTAAAAACAAAGTATCCAGTACAACAGGGGCTGAGAACATGCTTAATGACACTTCTCTACAGAAAAAAAAACAAACTGGAAGTCTTTTGGGAGTATTTTGTGCAGATGTGCGCAAATGTTTCTTTGTTAATTAAGATATTAGCCTGTTGTTTTCCCTGTGTCCTCATTTGTATTATATGAAACAAACTAAAAAATCCCCAGGCATTCAATAGGTTTATTTTTCTACTCAGACAATGGCTTTTCTCATCAGAAGAAAACTTGAAATTGGACATAATGTATTTTAGTGAGGTTAGAAATAACATTAAGTACTTCGAATTTCAAGCTTTCTCCAAGTATTTAATATCCTTAGGAGATGTATGCTGAATCTTCAGAATAAATGCTGCTTTTACAGCCTTAAAAGAAAAAACAAAAACATGCTGTTGGCATGTGGCATCAGTGGACACTATTTTTTCCTGATAGGACCAAAGAGATATCTGATGTATCTGTCTAAGTGTAGTAATAAATTTTAACAGCTGGTTACTTTTCAATGTGGTTTTAAATTCAAGTGCTATATTCAATGCTTAAGCTGTTTATGATTTTTTTTTTAAGATTTGTATTCCACTTTAGTTGTTTTTAATGTATACATGGTAGTGGAGAACACTAAAAATATTCTTACTAAAAAGTAAGATAGATATTTGAGCTCTGTGTGCAGACATGCATGAGCACTAATACATGATTAATATGTTCATGCCAAAAGCTTGAATTCAAAGAACATGCACACAGTCAGAAAATTAAATGCTCAGGGCAAGGAAGAGCCAACATCTGTGATTAATGTTTAGACACCCTGTGCATACCAAGACAGTTTGAATTTCTGTGATAAAGATAATTACAGTCTTTGTCTCATTCAATTCTTCCAATATTTCTACTCAGGAAAACAATTTTCATTATGTGGGCCTCTTACCTTTACATACACACAGTTCAGCCCTCACTCAGAAAACAGAATTATTTGTTCTGTAGCATTGGAGTGCTTCAGGAACATTAATTTTTACCTCCTGGAGAAGCTGAGGATGTTTATGACCCTCCTAACCAAGTAGGAAAAGAAATCACAGCTATAGGGAGTAAAAGTATCTAAATAATAACTTTGAATTTCCAGTTTGAGAAACCTTGGTTCAGTTGTTTGGGACCTCCCAGTGTGCTCTCTTTGCCCTTCCCTGCCTTTCCATGTGCCATGTGACCTCGTCCCTCAGCCCCCCAGTCGTGGTTTTTACCTGCTGCAGAAGCAGAGAGCGTGGATTATGCAGATGGCTGCCTCAGTTACAGCAGCGTCCCAGTTCCTCACACATCGTGTTTGCAGTGAAAAAGAGAAGGGAGCATTGGGGGTGTTTAAAGGCATGCAGAATCTCGGCATAGCTTACTTCAATTTCCCAGCTTTACCAGTTCTTCATGCATGTAACTTCAGTATGGGAGAGGTACAGAAAAATGCTTCTATCCACGTGCCAGGCTGCTTTGTATGTTTGGACTCCTTGGATAGATTTTGGTATTTGCACTCGCAGACCAACTGGTAGTGGAAATATAATGTTACTTCTTGTCTGAATCTGTAGCTAGTGACAGCAATGAGATTTATTCTTTATCAGCTACTTCCTAACAGTGTTTAATTTTCTGACAGGTGGATAGAAGCTTTTCAAGAAGGCACTGTATTATAGCAGTGTCAACATTGTGTCTGCAAGTTTAAAAGAAAATATCCAAGAATGGTCGTAGAACAGACTACAGCAATTGTTCACAGAAACAGAATCCTGCCGTCGTAACCTACACAAAATTGTATATTTGTCAGGATTAGGAGTTGTTGCATTTTTAGTGTAAAGTAATATTTTTCTAAAGAATTGTATGTATTTCTGTGTTGATACAAAATGTGTTATTTATTAAATTCCAGTGTTTACTTAAATGGGCGGAATTATTTGTGCATTGAAGTCCAAAGTGTTCTCAGAATGGTAGATTGTTGGTCAACAGATGCATAAACCGTTTTATTAAAAAAAAACCCCATAAAACAAATGTGTTGCAATTGTACATTTCCTCATGATTTGTGTATAGGTTCTTGAGCTGCTGATGTTCACTTTGCAATTTAGCAAGAACAGATTGGTATAGGAATTTCACAGATTCAGGATCTTTGTTGACTATGTAAGCTCCTTTATGAGAAATTATCTTGCATACCAGTACATTAAAACAGTACAACAAATTCTGTATCATAAAAGTAAAATACGGTTCAATTATTTAAAAACAGAAAAGGGAAAAGTATTTTTTAAAACAGTTTGAAATTACAGAGATAAGGCACTAGAGCTATTACTGTACTACAGATGCTAGAGAGACTAAACGAGTTATCTTCCAGTAGTTGTGGGATGTATTATCTTTTTATGTTCCCAGTAATAATTCAAAACAGAGTAAAAATACATTTTTGATAATCAAAGACAAAATATATTATTTGTTTTAAAACCTCATGTCACATGAGTTCTATACACAATATGAAACACTGTATAAACTATTGTTCAAGGAATAGTAAATAAGTATGTGCACCCTCTTCTCTGAAAATTTTAAAACTATTGTATATTTAAATACTGCATTTAAACTGGAATTGCCATACCAAGACAACAGAGCTTTTTTAGTGCAGAAGGCACTGAAAATGCATACCACTCTTTGAAATACCTTTTGTTTACAGTATGATTTGTTCTGTTTGACACCTTAAAACAGAATTCAGCTTTTGGTGTTTGGGTTTTGGTTTTTTTTTCCTAGAGAAAATCATCAGTATACCTCATTAGGAAATACTCACTGATGATTCTGGTGCATTTATTCTATTTAACTTTTTTAAAATTTTAACACTGTAATAGCATAAATGGAACTAGAACTATGAAACCCACATGAAAGGAAGCCATTTTTATGTCAAATGTAATCAGTTAATTTTACTGTATGAAACACTTGTCATAGTCCCCTGAATCAAGCTAGTTATGGTAACAAAATTAAGAGCAAGTAACTTTTAATTAATAGCTTGAATTCCACATTAATAGCTATTCTATGGCCTCAGAGCAGAAAGAGAAGACATGATAGAACAGTCAATATTCATCACAAGAAGGCCAAGAATAAAAATGCAAACCAAAATCCTCTTATTTCTTCACTATACCTCAAGGTCAGGTCCAAGATACTAACAGAGCTCTGAAGAAGCTTAATTTCCAAGAGCTTCTCTAAAGTTACTAGTGGGCTTGTACATTAACTATACAAGAAATTTCATTGACTTTCAGTAGAGTACCTTATGAATCAGGGACTTAAGGCTGTAGATCTGACTTCCCTCAGGTATGCTAGAGATTTGACTAGATAGTGCTGGAAATGCAGTAGGAGTCTGATCAAGGCCTTTAATTCTCTTATATTTTAATACAAATGTGCTAAATGAATACTTTTCTCTTGTTATATACAAAGGGCTTTTACTTAACTTTCAAAAACAACTGCTGACTGAAGCTACGTAAATTATTACCATGTCTCTTCAGGGTTATTTCGGACATGATTTTTACTGTATCCAAAACAAAACTGATATCAATATAACTTAGATGTGATGTGTCTCTTCCAGCTTATAGTATCAAGGGGAAGAGCTTCTTCATATTTTCATAGGCACTGCAAACCAACAAAGAGGGCAAGTCATGAAGCAGCAAATGAATCAGAAATTTGGCTAGCAGCAAGCTAATTTAATTTCAGTTTATACTTTGATATTTTCCCTGCTGCAAAACAGAGCAATAAAAGTCAAAACACACACTGGGTAAGGTGCCCAAGTTCTGCTTCATGTGATGTCAAACTACCTCTAGAGGATTTGGTGCAGAGGGAGAAAATAGTTTAAGGTGTTCTCTGGAAATCAGAGGACTTCTTCCAGAAGTGGTTGATCAATCAAAAAATTAGTGACAGAAATAGATTGGAACAGAGCCGTATAAACAATAGTATACATATTGGAGTCACATTCTGTGTGAAATAAATTGTCTTTGTAACCGTGTTTGAAAACTTCCTCTCTCCTGCATTAGTGCTTTGTATCATATGAAAAACCCACTACACAAGTATTTTCATAACATTTTCAGATGATTGCTTTTCAAACTTGCCCTGTTTCTCCAGTTCATCTCCCAATTTGATTCATTACCATCAAAAGTAAAATATTCATGTCTTGATTTGGCTAAACACTAAAACAAGATCAGAACTTTTTAAACACCTGGCTACCTCTTCTTATAAGAATCTATAGTTCATAATCAATTTAAGATTGGTTAAGAGAGTATGAGACAAACATTAGTATTGAATATTAGTTTTAACATTTTTATTCACAGATAAATTAAAGCTTCTAGGATCTTGAATTCTCTTTAACTTAAAACTGTGTGCCCAAAGGACTTAAAACAAACTGAGCAGCTGTGGAACACGTTTTACTAAATATTTTGTGCATGGAAACTCAGTTACTTAACTATGTTTATTACATCATAACGTAAAGAGATGTGTGGAAAGACACATTCAGTGCATTTGTTTGCTGTAACTGCTGTCCCCTATTTACCATCCAAATAGGCTTTTATTTGGAGTAGTCCTAAATCATACTGTCTAAATGGAAGAATAGAATTTTTATTTTGTAACTGAAAACAGTTTAAAGTTGTAAATATTCCTGTGGATATTCATCATTTTTGTATAAATAAATTCACATGATTTGAGTCTGTGTCTTTTAATATTTTCAGGTTTTATGTATTGTGTAATTTGTGTATTCAGTGATTTTCAAACACCAGAATTTTTTGCCACTATCTGCACATCAGTCTTACTTTAAAAATTATTCTAAGGAATTAAGGGGGTTAAGTCTATGTGAAGGTCAAATGAAGGGTGTTACATTAATAAATTCTTTTGCAAAATGTAGTTCTGCTGTATCAGTCAAAGTATGCCTGGATCACAGCTTCTGTTTGCCTTGGGTCCTGCATGTGGGTCAGAACAACCCCAGCAGGCCAGGCAAGAGTGTCTGGAAAAGGACCAGGGGTGCTGGTCAACAACAGCTGAACTTGAGCCAGCTGTGCCCAGGTGGCCAAGGCCAATGGCATCCTGGCCCGGATCAGCAACAGAGTGGCCAGCAGGAGCAGGGCAGGGATTGTCCCCGTGTGCTCGACACTGGTGAGGCCACGCCTCAAATGCCTGTCTTGGTTTGAAGGACAAGTGTCAGCTAAGGAAGGCAGGAGCCTCTCTTGAAATGGAAAATGTAAATTCCCTCCCTCCAAATTAATATAAATTTGAAATTAAGGGGCTCTCAGGCAAAGATATAGGAATAGGAATAACATTTCTTTACTAGGAAAATTAAAAATACAGTAATACAAAAGAACAAAACGCTGACAGACAGAGTCAGAATACAACCTGACACCCTGTCAGTCAGGGTGTTGGTAGCAGTCCCATTAAATGGTGGCTGCAGTCCTCCTGGAGGACAGATGTGGCTCAGTTGAAGCAGTGCTCCTGTAGAAGGGTGCAGTTCTGCTCCGAAGGTGCAGTGATGATGTGGAAAGGTCTGATTTGTCTCTGGGAATCCAATGGGAAAATGCTGCCCTGATATTCTAAATCTAAGAGTTTATCTAAGTAGGAAATGCTTGGCTCCTCCTCCTGGGTGGAGCATCTCCCAATGGGATGATGTAATTCTATCAGTCACACAGTGGGACTGATAGAATGGCCCATTACAGGAGATATCGCCCTGGAGGAAGGATGGGTGGTGGAAAAGAAAGATCACTGCCCCACCTGGTTTTAACAGATGATGATAGAATATGTACGTTTGGTTACATCCTGTATTGCAACTCAAGACAATGCTGTGTTAGTTCTGGGTGTCTCACTGCAAGAAAGACAATGAGGTGCTGGAGAGTATCCAGAGAACACCAACAGAACTGGGGAAGGGTCTGGAGCACAAGTCTGATGAGAAGCGGCTGAGGGAGCTGCAGTTGTTTAGTCAGAGTAAAGGAGGCTCAGGGGAGACCTTATTGATCTTTTCAAGTACCTGAAGGGAGATTATAGCCACATGCTCAGCTTCTTGTCTTAAATAACAAGGAACGGGACAAAAGGAAATTGGCTTCATGTTGCAAAAGGGAAGGTATGAATAGATATGTAGTATAATTGAGGGTCGCATAAAGCATAAGCAAAACCGACCAGGGAGGGGCTCCCCCTCCAACCGGGGAGTGGCTCCCATTCCTCATGTACCAAAGCATCCAGGCTAACAATCCTACTTATATACTATATGCTACAGAAGTTTCTAGAAAACTCCTCCTAGTTTCTATTCCTAAAATCTACGTCACTATGTTGTATGGCGCATGCTCTACTAATGGCTTAGGGGGTCTCTCATCCTTTTGAGGGTCTTATTTCCGATGAAGGCTCGTTGTCTTCCTCAGTGACCGAGGTGTGACCTGCAGGTAACGCATACGCTCTATGTGACCGAGCAGATGTTTTCCATAACAAGACTCTAATTGAGTCCCATGCTTCGAATCGTCCCATTTTGGCTCATTTCAAGGTCAAAACTTTCTATTTCTAGATGCTGCTTGTCAGACCTACATCTTTTACTATTCCCTTCTAACATCCTTCTTCGACTCCCAACATCTGGAAGATTCCTTTGCCCTGTCTCACCCATCTCCCCCCTCACTCTGTAACAATTGTCTTCTACTGATCTAAACACAATTTTGCTAATATAGTTACAATTTAATTAGCACGAATCACATTTATCACAGATACTAGGAAAAACTCTTCATCAGAAGGGTTGCCAAGTACTGGCACAGACTGCCCTGCGAAGCGGAGGACTCACCATTCCTGGAGGTATTTAAAAGATGTGCAGATGTGGCACTTTGGGACATGGTTTAAGTGGTGGACTTAGAAGTTGCTGGGCTAAAAGTTGGACTCAATGATCTTAGAGGTCTTTTCCAACCTAAA